AACACTTACTTCTAATGCAGAAACACAGTATAAAAATCCAAAGATTTAAGAAAATGGATAAGAGACAATATTAACGATCATAACAATCAACATCAGAAGAAAGAGATTTTACCAGTCCCCCGAGGATGAAGAAGACCATGAAGAGGCGCCCAAGCGTGGTCTTTGCATAAACATCCCCGTAACCGACGGTGGACATCGTGACCATGAGTAAGTAGACACACTCCCAGTATGTAAGAGCCTGGTTGTTTTGGAAATTTTCCCATGGGTCCCCTGAATTCTCCACCTAAAGCAAGGGGACAAGGGAGAAAAAACCATCACTTATGTACAGTAAACCAGGAAGCACAGAGCCCCGGCAGCCCCGTCCACACGACGCATGCTGGCTCCCTGGGCTGCGCTCTGTGAGTGGTGGCTCACGCCTCTGAGCAGGTAACAGAGGAAATGGAGCAGCAGCAGGATGGACGCTTTCCCGGCTGATTCAGGCAGAGAGGAAGGAAGGAGGGAGATATCCCCAGGCCTCTTCACTGCTCTTCTCATGGTTAAAGGTCTGGAGCCAGCTGAAATCCATGGCGTTGCCTCCGGCCACGTTTTACAACACTCTCTTCCATGAAAGAGCCAGAGAGCCCTTCCCTGACCTCTTTCTGTGAGTTCCTGCTGAGTCTCAGAGGGCCTGGCTCTGGCTCTTCTGCAGAAACCCTCGACCTTCCCACAGAGGGCTGCCTCCTTTCATCATTTTGACCAAGGAGATGTCCCGTGGGCCATGCTCCTGTGATCTTCTGCTCAGACCCCAAACAGCATCTCAGAGCCTCTGCCCTTTCTTCCTCCTTCCTGGAGCGTCAACAGTGGTTCTATGCTTCAGGCTGCAGGAATTTCCACAGGGGCAGCAAAAGTGAGCTCCTGAGAACAATTTGCATTCGTACAGCCCTTTAGACCAAGGGCCTGCAAACTTTTTCTGTAAAGGGCCAGAAAGTGAATAATTTCAGCTTTGTGGGCCCTACAGACCCTGGTCTCTGTCATTACTACTCAACTCTGCTGCTGGAGCGGGAAACGTGGCGGAGGCAAAGCCTCACTGAATAGTAAGGTGGAGTCACCAGCTATCGAAGACAACCATCTCCTCCACATGTAATTACATCCACAGTTATAATTACGGATGATAATTCCATCAACCCCAAGTGGTGGGTAACTAAACACATCCTTCTATGCCTTAGGCAAATAGAGGCTCCTCAAGGGAAGGTCACCTTTGTTTCAAGTCTCATAGTTAGAAGAGGCTCCTTCCAGTTGTAACAGTCTATGTTTGTATGGAACTTGCTTCTGACAATAGCTGTGCTCTCTAAAAGCAGGAAAAAGAAAATCTGCCTTGAAGAGGTGAGAAGAGCTTGACTTAATAATAAAGGCTTTCAAAGTCGTTAATATACAAGAATGAACATTTTTGAGGTACAAAATAACTTGACAAGTCATCAGGCAAAAGAATCAAAGGTGGCTTTTTGCAAGAGGGAAGTGGAAAGAAATTGAAGGATCTAAATTTGTTGTTTACTAAGAAATAGGGGTCAAACTTCCAACCCTGTCCCCAGATCTTTTCCAGGTGTTTGCTGAGGAAGCACTGCCATCTTGTGGATCGCCGGGGTCACTGCAGACAGAAGGAAAAATCTAGCAAAGCCCCCGCTGGTGAGATGAAAAACACAGGTTAACACACTGCCAGCGTTACTCACCATTTGGAACTAGTTTGGGGTAAAAAGGCTGGAAACCCAACAATTGAGCAGTTGCTTTCCTTTGTCCTGTCTACGACTGGGCTGAAGTTTATCTCCAGTGAGAAAAATTTCAGGTAATAAAATGACTCAGAGAGGGGCTTTTTCCAGGCACGCTGGAGCTGAAGGGTCTTCGAGGACACTTACCAGATGGATGAACCCCGCAGCAGTCAGCCACGTGCTGATAAATATGGACAGGAGATTCACCAGCTTGATGGAGTTGCTGTTCAAAACAGACAAGCAAAGTCCCAAGTTACAATAGGAAGACCCTGCCGGGGCTGCCTTGCAGAGTAAGGGCACCGCCTGCAGGGAGAGGAGCTTGCAGCCATTTCTCCATCCTCAGGAACGCTGGGCATGAAGGTCACCGCAGAGCCTGTGGGAAAATTACCCCTGGACTACTGGAAGGGGTCCCTGAATGAACCCCCTCTAATTTTGTTCAAACTTTTTGAAAAAATTAACTTGTACTTTGAAAACTCTTAAATCTGCAGAAAAACAGACAGAACAGTGCAATGAACATTTGCAGGCCCTTCACCGAGACTGACTAATGGTGAACATTTTGCCACATTTGCTTTATCTCTATATACTCTTTCACTCTCATTTGCTTTTTCTTTTCGGATTCTTCTTCTTTCCTTTCGTATATTTTAATTAATTAATTTATTTATTTATTTATTTATTTATTTTGGCTGAACCATTTGCAAATAGGTTGTAGACATCATGACACACCCCCT